TCCAAACTCTCACAGTCAAAAGGTAAGCAGAAGTCTGAATTAATCTCACTGTAATATTGGAATTGATTGAGATTAATCTAGATAAAATGGATCATTTATATTTTGCCAAATGGCTTCATGAATCAAATCAGAATGACTTTAGAGAGAAAAATAAGATTGTATATGATAAGGGTAAGAAAAAAATAAGATAAGGATGATATGTGTATGTGCTACCTAAATAATAAGTAAAAGTAAGTCTGAACATGTGTCTCAAGCCAGGTTGTGCATTAGACCAGAGGCTCATCTCCTGCACTGCAAAAAAATAAAATCTACAGTCATTTTTTCTTAAAATAAGGATTGAAGTGAGACACTTTGCCAATAAAACAAGACAATTTACACTTTAAACAATAAAAAAAAATAGTTGCATTGTCTTATTTTAAGTGCATAATATCTAGATACCTTATTTTAGGAGTAAAACTACTCATTCCATTGGCAGATCATCTTATTAACTTGCTCAAATTAAGGGTAAATACACTTAATTTAAGACATTTGTACTCATTTTGAGATAGTTTTTGCAGTGTTTTTCCAAAATGCATCACAAACTGCTTGAAAATGCTTTTCTACTATAATAACTGGCGATGAAAATAAAAAAATATTTAATAAGATGTATTTGTGTTTAATAATTGTTTACTCAGATAAACATGAATTTTGAACTATAGGCCTACATAATAGATCATGATGAACTGTTTACAGTCAGCAGCTTTGTGTCAATCAGTGCGAGCTCTATTTCACCTATTGGGCACCTTTTGCTGCCTGGAGAACAAGCTGGAGCCCATCATCTTCATCCACGCTGATGGGCATTCTTAAAAATAATTGTTCCCTGAAGCAAACCCGCGTATTTTATAGCTACATCCTGTTAGCACGTCACGTTCGATGCGTTAACAGTAGGCCTAAGCACAAGACTGATTCGTTCTCGCCCTCAAATGTACATTTGCGCCAGATATACATCTGCGCAAACTCATAGCTATAGACCCAGCTCCCAAGCCAACTTTGAGAATAGATTAACAGCAATATTTTTTTATGGCACGATAAGAGTCTGGTGTTAATGCAGCAAGTTAATGCTGATAATGGCCCACCCCTAATATTATCGGCAATAACGCATCAATGCTCCTGCAGAGGTTCTCTGTCCAACTTGGACTGACTGAGGTCTGTTTGTGAGGAAGTCTAGCAGTTGATTTCGGAGGGATGTATTGAAGCCCACACTTGTATCTGTACTTGTCCTGTTAGATCTCAGCGCTGCATTTGATACAGTTGATCATAATGCTGATGAAGATTCTCAGTCATCCAGTTCATAGTCATTCCATAAAAGTCTAAAAAACAAACCACTGGACTTGGTTTCCAAGGTTTGAAGACATTTCGCTTCCCCTGCAGGACGCTTACTCAATTCAAATTTCTAGATGTGGTCTTCAGGTATTACAGGAGACAATCCCCCCTTTAACGACCGACCTTCAGAATCATAGACAGCTTTCAGATATTACAGGCTAACAATGGAACCAAACAACCCGCTCGTCGGTTTCAATTTGCATGTTTCCAAGCAATACAAGGCCTGTCTCTATAAAGCCTCAAACTCACTCACTGTCCAGTGGATTGTTTTTGAACTTTTACAGACTTGATCATAATATTCTTTTAGAAGAACTTGAATATTTTGTAGGAATTAAAGGTACAGTGTTAAACTGGTTTAAATCATATCTGACCAATTTCAGTGTGTTCACATTAATGATAAATTTTCCGCAAAACTCGATACTGGCCAATGCCTGATGCAGGCCAACAATGACCTCAACCACTCCCCATTATTAAGGGGTTCACTTTGCATGTTTTCTAAGTCATAAAAAGGCTTTAGTTTGTGCCACTCTATAAGCCTGGAACTCAAAAGCTACTCCAGACATTTTGAATGGAGAAATATTCCTGGATGGGAAGCAAAATGTCTTCAAACTTGGAAAAACAAAGTCCAGTGTTTTTTGTTTTTTTTTTTTAACATTTTTGATTTTGTTGGAATGACTTATGGAGGAACAACTCTGCCATATTTAAAAATACATAAATAAATTCTCAATAAATAAATAATCATTAAATTAATTACCACCAAAAATACAACAAATAAATGTAAGTAGAAATTAAATTATACAGTGAGACATAAATGTATATAACTCTTTTAATTAGCTTCTTTATTTGCCTTTATAATATTTACCTCATATACCATATATATTTTTTGTACTTTATAACCTTCAACTTTATTTTTTAATTGCTTATATTTTTAAGTATTTATGTGCATGTTATAATATTTTTGTCTGTTTTATTCTTCCTTTGTATTTTTTTTACCCTGATATTTCTTCGCCGCTATTCATTTCTGCCTGCCCTTTTTACATTTCTGCAGTTTCTGGCAGAGTTGGCCCTCCATAGACTTTGACCTGGATGACTGAAAATATTCACCAGCCTATCTCCCATCTAACAAATGGGCGCACTCATCACTATACTAAACCCCACGCCAAGATCGGATACTTGGTCTAAAAAAAGTTAAATTCATTAGTTCCCTTCACAAATTCAAGGACTCAGGATAAAATTGAAATCATNTGAGAAGGTTCTCATCTTTAAAAAGAGCAACTCCAAACTCTCACAGTCAAAAGGTAAGCAGAAGTCTGAATTAATCTCACTGTAATATTGGAATTAATTTAGATTAATCTACCGGTAGATTAAAATGGATCATTTATATTTTGCCAAATGGCTTCATGAATCAGAATGACTCTAGAGACAAAAATAAAATTGTATATAAGGGTAAGAATAAAATAAGATAAGGATGATATGTGTATGTGCTACCTAAATAATAAGTAAAAGTAAGTCTGAAAAGGTGTCTCAAGCCAGGGGCTCATCTCCTGCACTGCAAAAAAATAAAATCGAAAGTCATTTTTTCTTAAAATAAGGGCAATTTTTCTTGAATTAAGGATTGAAGTGAGACACTTTGCCAATAAAACAAGACAATTTAAACTTTAAACAAGAAAAAAACAGTTGCATTGCCTTATTTTAAGTGCATAATATCTAGATACCTTATTTTAGGAGTAAAAATACTCATTCCATTGGCAGATCATCTTATTTACCTGATCAAATTAAGGGTAAATACACTTAATTTAAGACATTTGTACTCATTTTGAGGTCGTTTTTGCAGTGTGTTTCCAAAATGCATCACAAACTGCTAGAAAAAGCTCTCTACTATGATAACTGGTGATGAAAATAAAAAATATTTAATAAGATGTATTTGTGTTTAATAGTTGTTTATTCAGATAAACATGAATTTTGAACTATAGGCCTACATAATAGATCATGATGAACTGTTTACAGTCAGCAGCTTTGTGTCTGTCGGTCCGAGCTCCATTTCTCTTGTTTTCCACCAGTCACTCAGGCAGACCAACTTTGGGGGCAAATCTGGGTCTAGAAAGTCTCTTGAAGTGTAAAGTGATGCAAGGTAGTTATAATTATTGACAGATGTCCAGTGGTCCCCAGTCAGTGCTAAACACTTTGCCTTGACCAACTTATCATCTCGACCACCTTTCGCAACTTTCGCCATGGTGTGATGTCCATGTATTCTCCTCATGATAGTTCACCTCGCAGGTAGTTTGTGTCCTCTATAATCTTCAACTTTATTTTTTAATTACTTATATTTTTAAGTATTTATTTATTTGCATGTTATATTTTTGTCTGTTTTATTCTTCCTTTGTACTTTTTTTTACCCTAGATATTTTTTCGCCTCCATTTATTTCTGCCTGCCCTTTTTACATTTCTGCAGTTGCTGGCAGAGTTGGTCCTCCATAGACTTTGACCTGGATGACTGAAAATATTCACCAGCCGGTCGCGCATGTAACAAACGGGGCACTCATCACTATACTAAACCCCACACCAAGATCGGATAAAAGTAAAATTATTAAAGTAAATTCATTAGTTCTCTTCACAAATTCAAGGACTCAGGATAAAATTGAAATCATAAATAATTCAGGGCCAAACTGCTTAATGACCACTGCTTTCAAAGCCATACTTCAAANCTTCACAAATTCAAGGACTCAGGATAAAATTGAAATCATAAATAATTCAGGGCCAAACTGCTTAATGACCACTGCTTTCAAAGCCATACTTCAAAGTAGAAATGGGACCAATTCCCATGTAAATGTATAGAAATCATCACAAGCTGGGATAAGGGAAAATGTATTTTATTTCCTTACATATAAAATACTCAAAAGTTCACGATGTGTTTCGACACCAATGATTAATATATCAGCTTCAATGAGAAGAGAAAGAACTACATGGATAGTCTGGCTGTCCGATAAAGAATATGACCGTTGGTTTTATGTGCACAGAAAGGATTTTTTTGATGAAGAAAGGTTTGATGTAATTAAAATGAAAAAGAAAATGATGAAAGCACTCCCCTTTGGTATAAACTGTATCTAACAACTTCCAACCATTAAAATAAATAGCCTACTGCTATTAGAGAGAACCTGTTTGTAACTACACCAGGAAAAGGACACACCTAAAAACTGCTCGTGTGATTACATGAATACATTATTTAACTCCGCTACAGATGATGCCTTTTAAATCAATAGTGAATTAAAATAGGAAACGATGCAGAAGCTGACGTGAGAAAACCAAGAATGCTATTATTGATACTACTCACTGAACATGCAACAGAGTAATGTGCTGCTGGTTTCTAGGAAACAAAAAATACTCCAATGCATTCTTTTTGACAAAAACACTTAATAGGGATGAAAACCAAATTTGCATTGATCAGATTTGCCAGGTTAATGATCGAAGCTCATACTACAAACACTTTTTTCATAATAACTTGCCGACATTAACAACGTCGGGATCCCAAACACAAGCTATGCAGGATTCATTCCAGGCTTTAACATAGAAAACTGATTTTCTTCCATAGGCCACGTTTATCCGTTTAGACCATTTAAATTACACTCGATCCACGGCCAATTTGTCCACCATTCTCAAAACTGGATGTGGCGCATTACTGTTTAAAGTTCAGATTAAACTTTCTAAATAAAACCAAGTGCTAAAATAATCCCCTCAGTTATAAACATTGTTACATTTTTTGTACAAACGTTGACAACGTTCTCAGTACACTTCTACCTGTAGCCTTCATACAATCCTCCACTACTTGGTGGAAACAGTTCTGCCACAAGAGAAGACACTGTTCTTTCTCCCATCAATGAATAGGGACCTTTGTGGCTCCTATGTAATGAAAGGTAAAAGGCTCGTCTTGGGTCCTGAATCTCTGGGTTTGAGCAGACCTGGGTGATTCACTGTCATATTTTACATATTTGGTTCAGTTCACAAGTTTCAGAAACCTGTTCAGCCTCAGCCCTGGTCAGTTCACATCCTCTGACTACCAGTTTGTTATCATGTGTAAGCACCAAAGGGTTGGAAAAGTTCCTTAATTTACCAGAATATAAAAACCATAAACCCTCAGGTCATATCCACACTGCCATCAGTCTGTCAGAGCACTTTTTGTCCTCTTGCCCTGCTTCCCTCCGCTGGATGTGACTGTGCTGCTGTTGTAGACTCCCACTGATCCCAACATGTCGTCCTGCTGCTCCTCCTTGGTGTCCGGCAGCGAATCTTGAATTTTTCGCAGGGCTATCATGGCGTCGTCGATGTCTTTTGTAACCACCAGGTTGAAGTCGTGCATGCTGACCAAGTGCAAGAGGAAGTTGCGGCAAAGGTTGCGACGGATGATGTGAGCACCGCACTTCTCAACGAAAAGCATGACGGCTTGAGGCATCTGGTTGTCCGCTATAAAGCTAGATGGGAAAAAAAGAAAAAGAGGAAAAAGTAAGTCTTCCAAACGGTTTATAGAGCTAGCATTGGAACATTTGAATTCAGTTCCCATACATTCATTTTGCAGCTGGATCTCAAACTGTGGAATGCAAACCCTAATTGGGCCCAAAGTCAGTGAAGGGGGCACAAAATCCATCTAATGTTCTTAAACTTTTCTTCCCCTTAGACAAGTAAAAAAAA